ATATAATCAAAAATTGTACTTTTTTTTTTATACTACATGCTCACTACTTCTGGACTATTAGCCCAATTGAATTAATTTTGGTGTTATTCGATTCGGCTAAAAAAAGTTCCTCACTTGTTTAGATAGTAAAATTTGAGTTTTACTTTCCTTTGTTCACTGTCCCTTTCGGTAAATTCAAAATGATGGCTTAAAATTAACTCAGACGAGAGGGTAAACTTCAGGGTATCCATATTGAGCTTAAACCTAAACTTTCAGAACAATTTCCGCATATTATTTTCATATGGAGCCTTTTGTTTTCTGTGACGCCAGAACTGGTCTATTAGTAACCTATTAGAGATACGGAAACTGACCTATTAGTGACCTGGCCTATTTGCAGCAATTATCTTATGTACAATATAAATCTTGGTTTTTTAAATTCCAAAAAATTATTTTACGCACTATGACAAATCATTAATTCAATCTTATAAATATAAAGACTATTAGATTGTTAGTTAAGCTTTTCAAATGTTGGCAAAGTAGTTAAATTTTCAGAAACTTTTTCTTACTTTAATTATTTTAAACTTTCTCAATGAGTATACTAGTTGGCAGTTATACAAAGTAAAATAAGTGCAAAAAACCGGTTAAAAGTTGTCCCCTAATACAACTGACAATTTCAGTGTTATGGCTCGCGAATGAAATGCAAATTTTTTGCTTTTCGAGAATATTTGTATTTAGGGCAAGTGACCTAAGTTTTAGAGTTTGTCGACCACTGGAATAATTAAGAGGAAAAAACCTTCGTGGGAAATTCACCTTCATGAAAAATTTAATCTTTTGCACTCGAAGGCTCCACTCTGGTACCATAAAGTATATAGAATGTTCAAATTTGTACAATTTAATGTTTAGTAACTAGTTCGTTTAATGGCCTCCTGGTGTTATGCGGTAATTGTTCAATCAATAGCCTTGTAAAGTCTTAGTGTGAGTTTTTTTTTAATTGTGAAACGAATCTTATTGAGTTCAAAGGGTTAATGATTTTGTCTTGTAAACTCTTAGTATTTGTTTCTTTAGTTATAAAAAGAACCTTGAATTCAAAGGCTTAATGTTTAGTAACCACTTCAGTTAGTGGCTTCCGCATTATTTTATTTAGTTAGTGGATTAAGTGTTAATTGTGTGCTGGTTTTGTCTTTTAAACTCTTAGTGTCCATTTCTTTAATTGTAAAATGAACCTTATACAGATTAAAGGGCTTATGTTTAGTAACCACTTTAGTTAGTGGCCTCTAAATAGTAATTGTGTGTTGATTTTGTCTTGTCAACTCTTAGTGTCGGTTTCTTTAATTGTAAATAAAACCATGAGTTCGAAATGTTAATGTTTAGTAACTACTTTTAGTTTGTGGCCCCCAAGTGGTAATTGTATGTGGGTTTTGTCTTGTTAACCTTTAGTATCCGTTTCTTTAATTGTAAAAAGAACCTTATTCAGATTGAAGGGTTAATATTTAGTTACCACTTTAGTTAGCGGCCTCCAAGTGGTAAGTGTGTGTTGGTTTTGTCTTGTTAACTCTTATTGTCCGTTTCTTTAATTCCAAAAAGGGCCTAAAAGAGTTCGAGTAAAGTAAGCGTTTCAAATGCCGAAAAAAGTGTTTCAAAACATAAAACTGCAAACAAGTTAGGGCAGGTGGAGAAATAATAATATGTTTTCATTTTGTTCACAATTTATCCACCATTTGAAACTTTAACGGAACTCGCTTTTCTCGAAATACCAACGGAGATTAAATGAAATTTGACATGAAGAATTTCTCCCGAAGTATAGCGTCTTCTTACTGAAATCACGTGACACACGTTTAAGGTCTCTTTAGTATAGCATAGTTAATAATACATCAAAAGACCATTCATTATTACGGAAGGAGTCCATGACTCCTCTTCTTCCTGATCACATTTTAGTCTCACACCACAACGACATATAAATGAATAAATTTAAGTCCGAATAATATTCTTGAAAAATATTAAGTGTTTCCATTGATAAAATACAGTCCATGGCCAAATTATTACACACACTATAAGAATTTATGTCAAATCTTAATTATCAGATAATACCATACAGCTTTATTGTTTTTACGCAGCTGAAACCAGTTTGCCCTTGTTTACGTTCGTGTTTTAATTGGTTAACATTGTAATGCAATACGTTAAAAATAAATAGAAATAGAAAGTATATAAGAAATATTCTGTATAAAATTCCATTACATGTATGTTTAAATTTAAAAGTATTACATATAAACTTGTGCAAAACATGTCATTATTTAAAAACTACAGTGCGTCTAATAATTTGGTCTAATTATTATAATATACTAACATAATACTTGATATAATAAATATTCTATATTTGTATAATATATGAGGGTTGCTATTTATATTTCTGGCCTTGGCAACAGTAAGTGTTGCTAGGCGACCGCAGGCGATTTTAATCGAAAGTTTGATATTTTTAAACATAAATTCGGCATACGATTTACCATTATAGCTTCATTTGTGTTGTTGACAGTAAATTGAAAAGTTCTTCTCTTTCAAAAAATGGAATTGAATCGTGAACATTTTCGTGCCATTATTTTTCATAACTTTCGACGTGGATTGTCAAGACAAGAGTGCTTCGATGAACTTAATTCTTTATTCAGCGATAAAGCGCCATCCTACAGCACTGTAAAAAATTGGTATAACGAATTTAATCGTGGTCGATGTTCGATCCAGGACGAATCCCGTGCAGGTCGTCCAAAATCCGTTGTTGTGCCAGAAAAGATCGATGCTGTGCGTGAACTGATAAAGCAAGATCGTCATGTGACATACCGTGAGATAGAGGCGTCTTTGGACATTAGTATGACTAGCATCAATAAAATATTGCATGAACATTTGAGCGTAAAAAAAATTTGTTCGCGTTGGATCCCGCATAATCTGACAAACGCTCAAAAAAAGGCTCGTGTCGATTGGTGCAAGGAAATGTTGGAAAAATACGTTCAAGGTACATCAAAGGCTGTGTATAACATCTACACAGGTGACGAATCATGGATCTATGCATATGAGCCGGAAACAAAACAGCAATCAACTGTATGGGTCTTCCAAGACGAGGCAAAACCAACAAAAGTTGTTCGAGGAAGAAGCACATCGAAACAAATGATTGCCTGTTTCTTCGGCATTAACGGTCATGTGGCAACAGTGGCGTTAGAGCAACGCAGGACGGTCAATTCTGAATGGTACACGACCATTTGTTTGCCAGAAGTCATCGGAGAAATTCGAAAAAAGCAGAAGAACAGGCGAATCATTCTTCATCATGACAATGCGAGCTCTCACACATCGACTCAAACAAAGGCATTTCTGACGGAGCGAAAGATCGAACTGATGGGTCATCCGCCGTACAGCCCTGATTTGGCACCCAATGACTTCTTCTTATTCCCACACATCAAAAATAAATTACGTGGACAACGATTTTCGACCCCCGAAGAAGCGGTTGATGCATTCAAAACGCATGTTTTGGAGTTACCTCAATCGGACTGGAAAAAGTGCTTTGAAAATTGGTTCAAACGCATGCAAAAGTGTATTGATCATCATGGAGAATATTTTTAAAAACAATAAAACCAATTTCGATCATACATATTTGTTTTTCCATTATTAGGCCAGAAATATAAATAGCAACCCTCGTATCGTCTAATTTATATCTAATCGTCGTATTTATATTATATATCGTCTAATTTAAGCAAGTGATACACGAACGTAAACAAGTGCAAACCAGTTTCAGTCGCGTAAAAACAATAAAGCTGTATAGTATCATCTGATAATTAAGAGTTCACGTAGAATCTTATAGTGCGTCTAATAGTTTGGCCAGGGACTATAAATCCTTGCTTACAATTGTAAATTACTACTACTACAGAGTATTTTAACTAAAAAGAATTTAAAAGGGCTGCTATGGTATTGTGTTTGAACTATTTTTAACTAGGTTACGTTTCTACCCGGAATCCAAATGCTATTTTACTCGAATGCATCATTTTTTTATATATAAAGAAAGAATGATTCCGTCGAGTTAAATCGGACATCGAAACAGCGAACTTCCGCTAAACAAAAAAGAACAAAAAAGATTTGAAAAACGAGGAAGAGGGAAAGAATTATTTGAATTTGACGTGAATACAGAAAATCCAATTACTATATTTTTCTTCGGGTTATTTACATTTCGTAAATTGCATTCATAAACTTTCAATAATTGTTTTTCTGATATTTTTTTAATTAACTTTTTTCACATATAAGGGAATTTATAAAGTGTATTTTTTAAAACATAGTGAACGATCTAAGAAATGTCCGACCACAAAAAGTTTTCATCATTCGAATTATTTTGTTTCTGCAAAATAAATACTAACACTATATTTTTTGAAAAAAGGAATCGCTCTTCTAAGGCGCAAATATATTAAAAATTTGCACCAGTATATTTATAAATAATATCTTATCCAAAAGTAGCGGGTTCGAATACCACTATAATCCTGGGAATATGTCCTTTAATTTATGCTAACTGTTCTTCATTATGCCATGAGCTTATAAGCAGTTTTCAAAATGAGTGCATGTGCCATTTGTGACTATAAATAAATATATAATTGTGGCAAATGCAATCTACAACTGTGATTTAGATTTAAAATATTTTAAGGTAGAAAAGGAATCGTTCTAAAGCGCAAATAGGTTAAGAATTTACACCAGTATATTTATAAATAATACCTTATCCAAAAGTAGCGGGTTCGAATACCACTATAATCCTGGGGATATGTCCTTTAATTTATGCTAACTGTTCCTCATTATGCCATGAGCTTATAAGCTGTCTTTAAAATGAGCACATATGCCATATGTGACTACAAATAAATGTATAATTGATGCAAATACAATCTACAACTGTGATTTAGATTTAAAATATTTTAAGGTAGAAAAAGAAACAGTATTTAGCAAAGAGTTCTTTGATATAGTTTGTCATGAGCTATTGTAAATTCTTTGTTTATATCTTTCAGGTGAAGAGAATGACCAAGTTGCTGACCAAGTTGTTGACTTGACGATTGGGAAGATCATTTACATAGCTTATAAGAACTTTTTTACTTCTAGCTTAGTTTTTAAGGAGATGGTTCAGCTTTTAAATATCTTGTTCGTGCGCATAGTATTATTTTTGAAAATCGATTTCTTTGTTAGTGTGAATTTGAGTAATATTTTAAGAATACATATTTGTTAAAAATTTAGAGGGAACTATCGAATCATTACTAAGGAAAAACTCTTTAATTGGCAGAGGAAAGAAAAGATTATTTTAGAAACATCACATAAAGACTGCTCCAACAGTTGTACTTTTCGGTTTTCCAAGTGGAAAAGAAATCGAAATTCAATTGATAATTGCAAGCAGAAATGTTTCAAATTTTGCCGGCATCTGCATCAAACGTCTTATATATTTGTTTCATCTAATTAAATATTAAGGTAGCCAATATAATTTGAAATAAATTTTTTCATTTTAAAATAAAATATCAGAGCATAAATGTTGCTACCATTTTAAGTATAAAAATCAAGTCTTCCTAGATAGAGTGGGCAGCTATGAAACTAGTTTTGATGTTTTTCATCTCACTTTCCTTACTAGTGGTTCGGTTAGTTTAACTTATCACATCATAAACTAATATATATTATTGCTTTCTTCCTACCACGCCTTACGTGCCAGAGAAGATAGGAAAATTAATTTCTACTCGAGTGAATTTTATAAATTAATAGTTCAAACCTACATTATTAAATTGCATAAAAACTGTTACTTGTATAGAGAGAAACTGATTACAGATCGAAAGAAGCTATTAAGAAAATTCGTAATTAAAAGAGTAATTTTATTGTGCAGACGATAAATCTATATGGTCATTACTGAATCTCCTGTATAGTTGTTATACTATCGTATTTATAAACATAAATATTCAACAGAATCAATCCCTTTTCTGCTGTGTATTTTTAGAATTTAAAATACGATTTCTTGTTAAAATAATTTTTGATCATTTTTCTCTATTCAGTCACTCGATGGGGAAAAATATTGTGCTACATTTTTTAAATCATTGCCATAATTTATTAATGAATGATCATAAGTTAAGCTTTTTATTTTTATTTATAAACAATAATAAAATATAAATAAAAATCAACAATATTTTTAATCATAATAAACTGTTTAACAACTCTGTAAAAATATTTTGAAGAAAACTAAGATTATTTTTTTAAACGTTCAATAGAATTATCTAACGAGTATAACTTTAATAAAATTTACAACCTTTGCTAACTTGAACTGTGCTGCTATAAATAATATCCGGAAAAAATCTCGTTTCTTTAAATAGTGAACTGAACAAGGCCATGAAGGCCGAAATACCGACTGCCAAAATCGTGATATACATTAAGATAAGATTTCGTATTAAATCTGATAGGGAATTGGTGGATATAATCCGGACAAGTTTACACCGGACAATGGCCCTTCCGAAAAACATAAATGTAAATAAAGAATACTGGACAAGAATAAACCGGTCAATGGCTTTAAGCCTTAAAAAACATCAGTGTAGGAAATACCGAGCAATGCTCCTTTCCTAAAAGTGTATCCACGGTATTTCCCACTTATACTATTTTCACTAAGTTCTAATCTACAGTGCTTTTGTCTGTAATGTCACATTAATTTTCGGAGATATAGCTAGAGATATTTTAGTGTTTTTAACTCCCTTTTTTGTCCTTGATTAAGAAAAAAAGTTAAAGTGATCGTAGACTTTTTTTCAGAATTTATCAATTGAAACTCTTACCAAAGATATTCGCGGTCAACGTAATATATTTATAGTTTAAAAATGGAATGTGAAATGGAAATATTTTCTTTTTATAAGTCTCCTAGAATAAATAACAAAAGAAAAAAACAATGCTTTGAATCACAAAAATGAAAGAAAAAAATTTCTATTTTATTATTATTCGTATGTAATTTTTATAATGATTTTCGAAACTAATTAAACTAAGTATTTGAATAATTTATGAAAGTGTTCATGCACTTTTAAATCTTCCTCTGATTTATATTTTACATTTGATTTAATTATTTGGTGGTAATTTTTTCAAAGGATTTGCTATATTAGCAATTCAATTGTATCCCAATGAGTATATTCACTCGTTAAATAATGCACATTTATAATGTATATGTACATTGTTACACATCCGTTTCTTCACTATGTTATTTACAGCATAATTTACAATATCATCTCATACGCCTTTTGAGAAAAAGTTTTTTCCCATTGTAGTTACCTGATTAAAAACATTCACTTCTGAAATAGTAAATAGCAGTCGACATATTCAAAACTAACGTCTTTCAACTCTTGAAAATAGGCACCTATTTTTGAAGTGCTTGAAACATGCTGACTGTTATTTGCTATTTTTATAGTCTTGAAGAATATTTTTTTGTTTTCCATATCAGCAAACAGTCTCCGTGTCTGGTTCTATGGTTAGACCGACAGAAAAAGTTTCGATCTGATACCTTTAGACAAAGCTGCATGCGGTAGCTTCGTTTGATGAGAAAGCATATTTCAAGCCCTTCAAAAATAGTTGCCTATTTTCAAGACTTGCCAGATGTTATTCTTTAATATTTACGACTTTTATGTGCTATTTTTATATTTTTGAAGCTCATTTCCTTGTTTTCCATATCAGCAAACTGTCTCTGTGTCGGGTTCTATAGTTAAACAACCAGAAAAAGTTTCAATCTGATGCCTTCTTTTTCTGTTAGACAATGCTGTTCGAGGTTACTTTGTTTGATGAGAAAGCATGTGTCAAGCCCTTCAAAAATAGGTGCCCATATTCAACACTTGCTAGATGTTATTTTTTAATATGTCGACTGTTATTTGCTGTTTTTATATTTTTGAAACTCATTTCCTTGTTTTCCATATCAGCAAACTGTCTCTGTGTCGGGTTCTATAGTTAAACAACCAGAAAAAGTTTCAATCTGATGCCTTCTTTTTCTGTTAGACAATGCTGTTCGAGGTTACTTTGTTTGATGAGAAAGCATGTGTCAAGCCCTTCAAAAATAGGTGCCCATATTCAACACTTGCTAGATGTTATTTTTTAATATGTCGACTGTTATTTGCTGTTTTTATATTTTTGAAACTCATTTCCTTGTTTTCCATATCAGCAAACTGTCTCTGTGTCGGGTTCTATAGTTAAACAACCAGAAAAAGTTTCAATCTGATGCCTTCTTTTTCTGTTAGACAATGCTGTTCGAGGTTACTTTGTTTGATGAGAAAGCATGTGTCAAGCCCTTCAAAAATAGGTGCCCATATTCAACACTTGCTAGATGTTATTTTTTAATATGTCGACTGTTATTTGCTGTTTTTATATTTTTGAAACTCATTTCCTTGTTTTCCATATCAGCAAACTGTCTCTGTGTCGGTTTCTATAGTTAAACAGACAGAAAAAGTTTCGATCTGATGTCGTCTTTTTCTGTTACACAATGTTGTTCATGGTTGCTTCGTTTGATGCCCAACTATTCTTCTTATCTCACTGCCATTTTATACGTTTCATTCTCGGAATCTAAATGATGGTTGTTTTACCCATGTTTTTGGTCCTTTTTCGTAATACTAATAACCCATCTTTTCATACTTCTTTATATTATTCTATACTTTTGTATAGAAAGTGAGAATTCAAGTCTCTGCTCCATAACTGAGTGCGGATTGAAAATTCTCCTCTTCAATTTCCTTGACGTATTTAAGCTTGCTTTTAACTTATATATTTGATTGAGTTCATTGAGAGTGCTGTTTGATTCTAGTAGTTATTTTTTATTTAAATCAACTGTTTATTTTCCTAGTTTTTCTATTTATTTTTCAATCTTACTGCTATTCAATACTTGCGGCAGGATAATTGATTTTTTTCCTGTTGACTGAGTGATCTCTTTTGTAAACACTTTCCAATCTTATGGCAGTTCAGAGCTTCCAGCGGGATAATTGGTTGTCTTCTTGCTAACTGCGTAATTTATCTGATCTATTTTGTTAACGTCTTTGACGTTAAATAATATTCCATCCCTACTTGTTTAAGTTTTGCCGACGTATATAGCCCATTTGCTCCTAGCGTCCCTTGAAAAGGAACTTTTTTTTAGAAAAAAAATAAAAGGAGTAGAGGAAGTGTTACAGTATTGAGATTTATTTTGTAAAAAAACCAGGCAGATCTGTTTACTATACCATATTAAAAACATAAATATTTATATCTAGTTCCGAAGTCAGATAGTACTTTTTAAAATCGCGTTAAAAGAAAGAAATATCAACTTGGTGAAAACATATGTGTAATGCCCCTCTTTTTAATCTATATGTTTCACCAATATAATAGACCACTCTTTGTGATGGGTTACACGTGGTTAAACTTGTTTCTGACCTGCATTTTGATTTTAATCCGTTGTCTTACTTCATAAATGCTGTTGTTTATTGACTGTGTGGTTTATCGACACTCATGTGCATAAATTAGAGATAATGCCTGCTCCGGCAAATAAAGGTTAAGAAACAAAATAAACGTTACTTATTCATAAAGCCTATTTATTAAATAAAAGATGAAGAACAAAAATGATGATGTATGTATGATACCATTCTAAATAACTATGATTTTTTTCCCTGGAGCAATTATAAAAAAAAATTTCCCTTATAAATACTTAATATTACATTGTCTGTATCATGGTTAATACAGTGTATGTCCCCCATGCAATAAAATACAGTTCGTACAACGTCTAGCCATGCTAAGTATCAAATTATTGAGCAGATCTTGGAGGTTACTCCACTCAGCAAGTAATGTTCTTCGTAATTCCAGTACACATGTAGGAGGTGGTTTATGGGCTAGAGCAAGTGTGGGACATGGTCGTTGGCCAAGCATGTCCCACACTTGCTCTATCGGATTCAATTCAGGTGAGAATGTTGACCATTCCATACTAGTGATATCCTTAAATTGAAGGCATTCGTTTACGATATTTGCCTGGTAAAGACGAACGTTGTTATCCATAAACACAAATTCTTCACCCATGGCACCACTGAACCAACTGACATGTAGTTCCGGATTGATGTCCCGATAAATTTTGCCTGTCATGATTTCGCTTTGAATATGCAGATCTGTTCTGTAGCCCAGTATAATTTCAAGCCTAACAAGCAATCCTACACTACCGTAAAGGTGTCGTTCAATGATGTTGTCTT